TCTATTCTGCTGTCTCCAGGTATTGCAATGTCCACTATCCAGACTTTTTTGTCTCTCTTATTAATTATATAGTACATATTATAATTATAATTATATGCATAATTATAATTATATATCTAAATATATATCTAAATACATTATAATTATAATTATTATTATTTTTCACAGGCTTCCAGTTCCTAGTCCAGCACCTTAACCACTACATCAAACAGACTATAAAAGTGTTTGGTACCCCAGGCTGTAGGGAAGATGCTGTTTATATCCTTTCTTATTGGAAGCTTGGAAGTTGTCAGGGTCTAGATGGGACCCTGAAGCTGAACCTGCAGAAGATGGAGGCACTATTTGTTTACTGAAGCTTTCCATCAAAACCAGTGATATTTCTGGACAGGCAGATATGGGCATGGAAGCAGAGATGCCAAGCTCAGTCATCAGTGCTTCTCTTCTTTTCTCTTCTGTAGAAATCCTTTTTCACTTTTTGCAGATGTTGGTCTAGCTTTCACATATGGTACACAAGGAAATAAAAATTCAGTCTTGATCACAGAAAAGTAGCCTGTCAGGGGAAACAAGTCATTCTTCTGTGGTTCTGCCTCGCACTTGAAAATGGGAAACAGCTGAACTGGGACCAAGTTCCACTGAAGTAAACCGAGCTTCTTTTTAAGTAGATGCATACAGGATTGAACTATTAATGCATTTCCTTGCATTTTCCTAATGAAGTATTTCAGTTGTTGATTAATGCCCAGAGATGCCATATGCCAACAAAAGCCAAACAGCCACTGACAAGCACCCTAATTCTCATACACTCTCCTGATCAGTTTGGACTCAAAAGCATCTGAAGAGAATCCCATTTCTTCTCTCAGGAGCACAACTCCTTTTTAAGTCTATCTTAAAATAAACACCCTTTTATCTTCATAAGCTGACAAATTAGTCATTTTTTTACATCACCATACTCTGCAGTATTGTGCAGACCCCTCACTCCATGGCAAGCGCCCCAAGTTCTAATTAATGGATACCACCTGTCTAAACACTATTAGCTGATGATGTTTCTTTTTTTCCTCTCTCTGCCTCTTTTTCCTTTCTTTTAAGGTCTAAGCAGCAATATTATCTTTATTAAAGTCCCACAAATGTTCTCTTCCAGCAATGAGAGTTTATTACAAAGACTAAAACCAGCATTGTTTTTCTGTTATCAGGTTACAGTAGCTTAAGTCTCTAAGCACTAGAATCCCCATATAGCTGATCAGTTACAGCTGTTAATTGTGGAGAGGGGAGACCAGCTGACATCTGCTTCTTACTCAGTTAGCTAATGCTTCACTTCCAGGTCCTAAAAGGATTGTACTCTCCATCAAAAGACAATGTCTATGTCGGCCTTCTGTACTGCTTGCCTTGTGCTGGTTTGTCCATACAATGCAAATTTGAGTGAACTCACATCTGCCACTGATCGACCCAATTCGTGAGCAATCTTTTCCCATCGACCAGGCGTCCCCCCCGGGAACTTAACCATACTTCTTGTCAGTTGGCTAAGGTCCTCTTCCATCCATTCAGGGGCCTGCAAAATATTTGTAAAACGTTTATTACACCAGGAAATTAGAAGGATTTTTTTTAGAAGCTAAAAACACCAAACACAAGTCTTAAGCAAAGCAATCCAACAAAATATCTTAAAGCAACATCATAAGAATGCTTTTTATGGCTTGTTTAATGGCTCCTACTTGCAGAAGATCCAACTTATCCATTTTATCTAACAGAAGTATACTGTAGATGTATCTTGAAGGCCAAGCTTATCTACTTACAATACAATGGGCAGAGACAGACAAGCATAATTTTCTCTCTCTCTTGTGTGTCTATGCACCCATGTTCACATGCAAGGAAAAAAAATTAAACAGCACCATGTTAAAAATACTTTCCATGGACACATGCTTTAACTTACAGGCATCACAAAAATAGGACACAGAATATATTCCTTGGGGAAGCATATTTAGAAATGATGAACCAGGCTCCTTATTTAACAAAGGAGATATATTTGTTAAGTTATAAATTGCTCTGACAGAAAAGGGATTTGGGGAGATAGTGAATAATGTGTTAAAAACAGCCAAGACTGCATTGCTTCTGAGCATGGCGCACTCACTGGGGAGGGGGGAAAACCCACCAATCAACTTGCGGGCACTTGCATGACACACCCATTGTGAACAAATTCTCCCTTTTCGAATCATTTCTCCAAGCAAAAGGAGCTGTATGGAAAAGGCTTCACAAGCACCCGAAGAGCTATTTCCACCATCCTCTCCTATCAAAAAACCATCTGGATCAGGCTTCCTCTGCACTGATACAGGCAGTAAGCAACAGCTTCCCATTTCTCTTTTATTTCTAAAAGGAGCCTTTTATGACAAATACCTCCCCCTAATCACTATTTCCGATAATGAACAGGCAGGCATCAAGCAGTTTGCATTACAGAGCCATCAGTGCTAAACAACAGTCAGAGGTGAATGACCCCTGGGACCATCTCCACAGCTACAGCAAAGCTTCTGCCTGACACTAATCCTGCCTGTCATTCTCCCACTGTGCTCGAACCACACTGACATCCGCCTGCTGCACTGCAAGCTGAAACGGGGCCCTCCCTGACTTTTTACTGTCTCCCCCAATCAATGGCTCAAGCGTGCTCTTTTCACCATGTACAAATGGCAGCTTCACTCATCGTCGGAGGGCCTTGCCCCTTGTTTAAAGGGGCTCCCCAAAGGCATTGCCATTTGCATTCATTTGCAAAGCAAACTACTCTTATTCACTTTGTTCAGGGCGATGAGGAATGCTCCCTGAAGCAGAGAAATTGGCATAAATATACAGCCTGCTGCTTAAAAGACAGTAAATAATAGCCAATAATTGGAAGGATTTTTTCACTCATCCTTCTCTTGTGCCTAGGCATGTCTTTGTCCACCCAATGCCAAAATCATATCTGCCTGGATTATTGTACAACTATCAGTAGTCAGGACAGAATGCAAGAACACACAGTAGATGAAGACGTGTACCGTCATATCGTAACATAGGATGTCCCATTATCAGAACACACACACACATGAAAAATGCAAGTGGCAATGGTTTGGCCTGCAAAGAGGAGGAGCTAATGTCCACTAGACAGTAACACAGCCTTCCACAAGAAGGAGGTTCTGCTAACCACTTCCTCCAAAGCATCACTTAGAGTATGCAAGGTAAAACTGACCGTGCTAGTAGCAGAGTATCAGATGCACCCAGCTGGAAGCCCTTGTCAGTGTACTGTATGACATCGCTTACCATACCAACCCCATCTAATGGGGTTCTGAAGACCCTGCTGCCTCAAAATCAGTTTGCACTATATTAGACAATGTCTGTGAAGCTGCTAAGATTATCCGAAAAGGGAGAGATTCTCCTGCACAAAATGGAGACAGCCTGCGATGTCCACTGAGCTATTCTGGGACATCAACAATTGATTTGTTATTAACAGCTAGAAATGGCCTTGTATACTATTCAACAGATACTCAAGTTCTTTGAAAATCCACAAAGTTCTGAACCCTTTGAAACTGGGGTAGAACAGGAAAGGGGAACAGTTCCCCAAATCCTCTTTAATATATAACTAGATTACATATAAGCGTTTGTATACACATTTGCATAAGTATGTATATAGAGACACACATATTTATATAAACATACATACTCACACCCACGTGCATGTACATGCTCATAATTCTTTTAAAATAGTTTATCCAAAAGAGCACAGCAATAAAGATTCCTCACCTTTGGATTCTCAGCGCACGTATTCATCAGTCCAAAGGGGTGTTTATTGTTAAGATCTGCCTCTTTTTCAAGTTAAAAGTGTCATCCTAGTGGTTAACTACACTGGATGCCTTCTAGATGTATTGGGCATTAAGTATTAAGCCTAAGATAGAAACCTTTATTGTATATCAAATAGTTTGATGTATTTGGCAGTTGTTTATTGATGCCACATTAACTTGGAGTGAAAAATTGAAACAATGTTATGCTTATCAACATTAATGTGTTAGAAATCATAGCTAATACTGATACTGTATAAACTTATTTTTATCTCCAAAGGTTTAAGTTATCTAAACATTAGAGGGTTAATAATCTCTAGACAATATTGTATAAGTACTACTATACTCAAATAATACAATGTACTACTTATGTTTTATAATAATATAGTTAAACAAATTACAGGAGGAAAAAAGGTTTATTGAGGTTACAATTCTCAGACTTCTGAGCCAGCAGGGCCAACCTCCCCCCCCCCCGCACTTGGGGGCTAGGCTGACTGTCCCTCCCAAATGCTGCCTGGGGCATTCTGTAAGTATTATTTTGTGGGTGGAATTCCCTGAACTACAAAGGGGCAACACACAAAATTCTAGTGGACAAAAATGCCCCAGTTAATGTGTTCATTATGCTTTACATAAAGTTCCTTTTTGCTAAATGATGATAACTTGAGCTGAAGCAGAGGTGGGCAACCTTTGGAGATTGTTGGCCTTTGGGAGATCATGGGTATATATTGGGGGTTTCTGAAAGCATCTGGTTACTGGCAGCATTCACAAAATGGTTACCATGAGGGTCTTGTGCAGAGGGAAAATACAAACTTCTGATTGTAGCCAGAAGACAACATTGCTTCTCCTTCTAGTGCCCCCACCGCATCTCTGCCTTTGGGGGAACAAGTGGGTAAATTTCCAATAAAGCAATTTTTTAATTTCATATTTGATTTTATAAAAATTATTTTCCAATTACGTCTTTCCAAGCATACAAGTTTCCTATTTAATTATTTTTAGTCAGAATAATACTTGGCAGGCAACCTGGAGAGAAGAGTCCATGAAATAGATAGAATGTGCAATTTTCCTTTGAACCTTTGAAAAGGGTAAAAGAAACTTATGAATACCAACATACACCCAAAGCACTAACTTAATATGCTTCCTTTCAATTAGGAATTTATTTTCTATTAAGATAATAGGGACGCACCAAATCATTTCTGCAGTGAATCTAATAAACCACTTTAACAATGGCAAATAGAGTATGCAAATACTGTACTCCAGAATCAACTATGCATTTCCACGTTTCTAGGAAAAAAGCTTCTTCCACGCTCTTGACGTTTCCAGAACTGTTACACCTAGAGTTAAGTAAAAGGAATTAGACAGCAGCCAGCCTTGCAGGATATCTGACACTTTACATGGTCTGTAGACACACAGACTGGATGATCTTATACAGATCTGAGAAGCAACCCTTTAAAAGGCGAGATAAAACTGAAAGGCCAATAGCAGAAAAGGACCCACAATGATTACTAAAAGCATAGCTGAGGCTTTCTCTCCAGAAGTCAGACTGATCTAACCAATGTCCACAACTGACACTATGGGAAGTATTTAAAATATTCTACAGCATCCATCCTCAAGCAAGGATCCAGAAGTTTGCCCACCACAATTTCTCCCTTCTCCGAGAAGTTCAGATTCCTGAAATGCAAAACCACAAGCCACTATATTTTAGAAATCGGCCCTCCTCAATCCTGGCAAGGAGAGGAAGAGGAAGAGGCAGTTTGCCTGCTGCTTTTTGTTTGCTGACGAAGAGCCACAGCTTTGTTGTTCTGTTTTTTTTAAGGCTTGCTGAATTTACAGCTCTTAGGCAACAGTTAATTGTGCCTTCAGATGCAGCAGAACCTCCTACAATTCAAGTGCTACAATCATCGAGGAGGGTGGCCACAGTGTGAATTTATTTTCCTGCTCCAAAGCCAATACTATGAGAGTTAAATGAATGCATATGCATAAGCCTTTATCACTTCAAACTACATTTGTCCAATATTACCCAAAACCTGGCCAGAACTCATTTCTATGGTAAAGTAATAGAAGATGCCACATAGCGAGGGGACAGCTGTTGTATCTACACAAGCATCCAGATTTTACATCAGAAAAGCTGTGCTTTGGGATTAAGTCTCCACACTGAATGCTGTGCAGTCAAAAACGAAAAGCGAGAGACAAGAGGCCCTATTTTTAACACAAAAATTAAAAGGGATTTGTGCAGTTCATAAATATTCGTATGATTTGGTGAAAAAACAGAAGGTTACTGTATTACATTTCAATAATGCATATCAACTTCTATTAGCTCATTATGTTTATTGTAGTTTTAAGCAAATGTTATTATATATTTTTCCCTCAGGTAGTTCCAATTTGTAATAATTAAAAATAATTAAAACATAGTGCTTATTTACATGAACATGTATAGTGGATTTCTCTACTTTTGTTGACCCATTGAAGTCTACCTGAATTTTTAGTATTCTGCCATTCATTTTCTTTCTGAAAATTCTATTGCTCTTAGAATTGAAATTATTTTAGTTTCATAATATTTAGCATACTTGAAGTTGGAGGTCTCTACTACTAGCATGCCAAACCTCGTAAAGGTTGCTTAGGGTAAATGCCTAGAATTGTTTTCAAATATCTGCTATCAATTATTTATTTATTTATTAGGGAAAGCAAACTTTAACTCTTATTTTTGGTCAATGACACTACTTAAAGAACTTCAGGATAGTCCAGCACAGTGCTTTCA